GCACGAAACGTGTGGACTCGCCTCTCTGAATGATAGTATTCGACGTCGATGTGGCTGTCGGAACGCTTGTGGCGCGTCTCCGTAGGATCGCTTGTGGTGCAATCCGGCTCGAAGGACCAGAACGATGTACGAATAAATCACTTCCGTGCGTGCTAGGTGCTAATGGACCTAGCGACACGGTCGTGAAAATTATCTTCCATTAATTAGTTTCCGTTAAGACAAGCACTTTATTGTCCGTTAAGGCAAGCACTTTATGCGACGCGAATACAGTGAGACTGGCGAGATCGCTGACAACCGACTGGTATCGTGGTTCTGGCTGTTCTGCAGGATCGTGCGTGCGGTGCGTGTCGCAGCGACAACGACGTGATCAAAAAACAATTGAAGATCGGTGAAGTCCCCCAGGTAATTGCCGGGGGCGTACGGAGATACGCGAAGGCACACGGAAGCCCACGGATTTAGCGCGAATATTTGAAGCGCTGTCGCTCGTACGATACGTGGATTGTACAACTTTAAAAGAGCGGAAAAATTAGATTATTTGAAACTTATTTTCTCAGTCGCTTAAAAAAATTTGGATTATTTATTTGTACACGTAATATAATTATAGATACTTTATGAATTAGAGTATTTAGACTTATAATGAGATTTTGTCATTTTTCCCAGGTTACTTTTATTTAAAATATACTTTAATTATTTATTTATTTTAATATACCTATCGAAATAGTACAATAAAAATTCTTAATATTTGGTTTTTATATATTTATTAATTTTTTATTTAGATACAATTTATTTTGATGGCAATACCTACGTTGCAGTTTATGGGTCCCAACTGCAAAATAGCAGGAGGAGCGGAACGATTCTTTCTTATAAATTTAGTTATATTTCTGTATTTATTTTATGACTTTTACAAGAAGACTTATATAATTAAACAGAAGAGTAATTAACTAGATGCTAATTACTCTTCTGTTTAGTTGTATAAGTCTTTTGGTAAAAATGGTACATTTTGAGGACATTTCGTACTTTCAGGGACCGTCTTTAAAGTAATAACTTTTTAATTGGTAACTTTCGAGGACATAAAATCTGTCAAAGACAAGTGCACATAATAGACCAAAAATATTTTAATACTGTTTGGTATTTGGTACATTTTAAGGACAAAAAGAATTTCAATTAACTGACACGAAAATTTGTACTACGGTACATCTTACTTTCCAAGTTTTCTTTTATTAATTATTTTTAATCCATTTTTGAAAGTTTGCCTTAATAACATAAAAACAAGTATAACGTCTATGTTATAAACATATGGTTGATATATGTTTAAGGACATATTACTAATTAAGTTTTCTGCACTCTCCTTTTAATGACCACTTTACGTAAATGTCTTTATTGATTTAATACTTATACGAACATGTACATAAATAAGTGGAAAGGTGAAAAATACACAAGATTGCTATATTTTAAGGATTTAGGCTAATAAATTAAAATGAATTATACAATATAACATTTTTCGGTTCTTTTTGTCTCTTATACTCCTTAATTAATCATTTTCTGTATTACAAATAGTATTCGGCGAGTGTGGCGCAGAGAAATGTGCGCTATTTAGTAAACAAATGAACGAAAAGATCCGAGTTCAAATCTACGGATACCACTGGTTTTTTCGGAATTTCCCGAAGGGAAGTGGTAAGCACCGAGAGTATTCTGTCACACACATTCTTTTAGGAGTACAGCCCTCCAGACTGGAAGTTTCCTTCGGCAAGGTTAACAGCTTACCGAAGATGAAATAAAGACCAAATGCTCAAAGTACCAGTTCGTTCTATACCAGAAAGAACTGGATAAAACAAGCTTTTAAGTCTAATACACGACGAAGAAGAAGAAGTATTAGTATTCTCGCCGTCATAAATGCCTTCACAAACAAATTAGTTGTTGACAGGTCAAAACTTTCTATTCGTGTCGCGCGTATTGATGCAACATAACTGCTTGAAAAAAGACTCAGCGATTTAAATGCTTCCTTATTACTAATTAACTTCATTATTTAATCAACTAATGAGAATATTCTTAAATGTCGCTAGCAGTAATTAACAACATCAGTGATTTTTATTGACCGTATCTGGCAATTTTAATAATACAGAAAATTTATTACGAATAGTGGGAATGCGGCGGGAGAGGGAGGGGGCAGGGAAATTTAAAAATCGCGTATCAACAGTTTTGTGTACGGTTGACAACCCTTATCGGCGCTCAGTTCTATAAAAAAAAGTCGAAATAGACGCGTAAACATCTTTATACTTTTATTGCGACTAATGTTATCATATACCTCAGCGGTCGAATTGGTTGAGACGCCTGCCTAGAGAGAAGGGATTTCCAGGTTCAAACTGAGGTAATATTTTTCGCAATAAATTTTCTGTATTATTATAATAAAATTGTCTAATACGGTCAATAAAAATCACTGATGTTGTTTATTATTTAACTTTGTATCAAGCAGCTGTTATTAAAAAAACTTGGCGCTGTTAAAACGGCTGAAATATGCAACCTAAACTTATAATTAATTATAATCCCTATTTCATAACCACATGAGCACGCGCACACACACACACACACACACGCGCGCACAAAAGGAAGAGAGTTTAATACTTGTAAGGAGGGAGGAAAAGCGCAATTAACATGTGGTTAGCAGCGTCAAGTTTTTTAAATACAACATCCAATCCACCTCCTCCCCTTTCTACGCGACCTGGCCCTTAGCGACCATTACATTCTAGTTTCCTCCTTTCCCACGCCCTTACCCCTCTCCTTTCGCTCCCTCATCACCCCGTTCACTCGTTCTCTCCTCCTCCCCTCTCCTCCCTCCCTCTCTCGCCTTTCTCCTGTCCTCCTTCTCTCACTTATTCCTCTCTTTGCTCCTGTCTCCCTGCTTTTTTTCTCCTTCCTCTCCTTTTGTCACTCTTTCATTCCTTTCCTACTCCTTTCTCTCATTCTCTCCCTTCTCTTGTTCTCCTTCTCGTCTTCTCCTTTCCTCCCTGCAATCATATATTTCTACAGGGTGTCTGATGCAAAAGTAGCCAACTTGAAAATAGTGGTAGATTGGGTTAAACTAAGGAGAAATATCACGTGCCGCGGTACAAAAGTAACAATAGTTATCGAGTAATTAATTTACACGTCTGAGCGAATGAGGATACGGTAGGCCGGACTCGGAAGGCATTTAAGAAAATCGATCGATGAGCGGGAGGTGGAGCGATGCGCGAGATACTATGTTTATGTTTTGGGTCGCCCGTCGCTTGCGCTCGCTGCCGCGCTCGCCGCCCGCGCCGCGCTCCCCGCCGCGCCTAGGTTTTTTCCCACCACGATGTATCTCGCGCGTCGCTCCACCTCCCGCTCATCGATCGATTTTTTTAAATGCCTTCCGACTCCGGCCTACCGTCTCCTGCATCCTCATTCGCTCAAACGTGTAAATTAATTACTCAATAACTATTGTTACTTTTGTACCGCGGCACATGACATTTCTCCTTAGTTTAACCCATCTACCACTATTTTCAAGTTGGCTACTTTTGCATCAGACACCCTGCGTATAACTTGCGCCTCTCCTTCCCCCCTTCCCTTTTCTCCTCCCCCAACCTCCATTCCCTCCCATCCACTCACATCCTCCTGTTCTCCACTCTTACCTCCCTTCCTTTGTCCCTCTCTATCCTTGCCCTCTCCAGCATTCTCAACCTTATCCTCCCTTCCTCCATGCTTAGATCTTTGTCCACTCTTATCCTCCATTTCTCTCTCACAATCAGACAATCCATACTTCCAAGTAACGTTTCTCTATCCTTCTCTTACTTCATTTCAACTATCATAATAACCTTCCCTCCTCCCCCAGTCTCTCCACTATCTCCCCTAACTTCGGTACCCTCCCTTAAGCCCTAATCACACTAGCGATTGTCGATTGGATTGCGATTGCGATTGGCGATTGGCGATTACTTTTCAACCAATCACAACAAAGCAGACACCGATTGAGTTAATCATACTAGCGATTGCCGATTGGATTGCGATTGCGATTGGCGATTGACGATTACTTTTCAACCAATCACAGCAAAGCAGGCACGGATTGAGATTAGTGTCTGCCGTTTAGACAACGCTCTATTTTAATCGTTAATCGTAGCAGTCAGGTATTATTTGTATCCGCCTGTCTCCCAAAGTGTTCGTTTTCTTAAAGATATTTTAGTGAAAATTTAGAATAATAAGATTAGATAAGCATATTTACGTACATAATGCCACCGAAGAAGTAGATATTGACTATTGAACAGGAATTTTTATTGATCGATGCTGTGAGAATTAGACCACAGTTGTGGGATGTTTCTCATCCAACATACAGAAAAACTGATTTAAAAGAAACCCTTTGGGAAGAAGTAGCAAATCTCATAGGCCCACATATAACAGGTAAATTAAAAATTCTAATAAATATGATGCATCTACAAATTTTGATGTTAGGTAAGGTTAGGTTTGTGTTTCTTTATATTAGGATTAATATCTTAAGTATTTTATCTTTTAGCTGAAGTAGTCCGTGAAAGATTTATTAATATGAGAACCACATTCATGAATAACGAAAAGAGAATAAGGGAGTCAAAACAAAGATTCAGTGGAAAAGATACAGATGAGATCTACAAACCTAAATTGTCATTGTACACAAATTTGCTATTCTTAAAGAAAGCCTGTGGGCAAGCAAAGAGCACATCAAATCTTGATGTACCCGAAGATTGTGATAGTCAGACACTTACTACCCTTGATACCAATGAAGAATTAAACAGTAATTTTCTTGCACAATCCATTAAAAAAATATATTTTTTAATTTCAATTTACAGGTGATTATTAGAATTAAATTAATAAGCAGTTTCTTTTTGAAAGAAATAATGCTTTTCATATTTGATTATCACTATATACATTTAGGTTCATGTGAAATATAATATTGCGTAACCGTATTTTGTTTCAGAAATCGATATTGGCGTCAGCTAATACTGAAGAATCAAGTCATTCACAGACTTCATGTGAAGGTTCCAGCATCATATTTGTGAATGAGTCTTTAGTAGACCATATATATTCTATAGATAAAATTCAACAGTCTGTTGAAAGAAATCTGTTATCTACACATTCATCTGCATCTAACTGTAATAGTAATACTCCAAATGAAAGAGTTGTATCTCCATATACATATATCCCCATCATCATCTGAATGTACAATGGATGTTATACATTCAGAACCACTTGCTTTTAAAAACCGACAAAATTTTTCCCTTACATCTAGTTCCCTTTCACCATCTTCAAATTCAACTTCTACGATTAAAGATAAAAAGCAAGCAGACGAAGACGTTTTTGCAAAGCGTGGTGGTGGTAGGAAACACGGGAGAGCAACTATTATGGAGGAAACAGTAGAAGCATTAAAAAAAATAAGTAATGAAAAATGCCACAGGTTTTGCAATCACCACCTCGAACTTCTAAAACTGCTGATGCTTGTGAATATTTGGGTTTATTTATTGCTGCTCGATTGAGGGAAATGGAACCAAATAAACGTTTTCGTTGTGAAACAGAAATAATGAAAATTCTCACTAATTACGACTATTGAAAAACGAGAGAACACCTAAAGTGATTATTTTATTTTTAATTAAGGTGAATGTCCCGATTAGTGACAGTGTCCCAATTTATGACAATCATATCTCTTTGTCTCGATAAATTAATTAATACACATCCATGTCTATTATAAATATGTGTTGGTATTTCAAATCATATACATAAATCTATTACAACAAAGTTTGAATAAAATTAAACGCTTTTGTGAACGCTAAAATTATAATCGGTCAAGCATTCTGCCAACGACGGCAATTCAAGTAGTTAGTCATTGACATGTTACAAGGCGAGGTTACTATTGACGATCCTCTTCTCGATTGATTCAACTTATATTAGGCTGAAAGTAAGTCAAAATTAAGTACCCGACGTTAAGTAGATATTAAAGAACATTATGAGTAAATTAAAAACGTTACAAAATACGTATCTTTCTAGTTAATGCATGTGTCACTAATCAGTACTAGAATATTTGTTTGTCTTTATTACTGACTACCGAAACAAATGTGATATAAAAGAATAAAAACGTTCCTATTTCTAAAACAGACATGTAATTTGTAAATATTAATCATTATTGAATTAAGTAATAGCATTGATATTGGAACATATTATTTCAGAATATAGAAAATTAATACAAATACGAGTTCCTAACCTACGAAGTGTCATATTTAAGTCATTAATAGGGACACTCATAATCCTGTACTAATTTGTGATATTCGTAAGTAATTATTTCCTACACGGAACATAAAATCTACTAGACGTACATACAACATCCATGTCACTTCATCTGTATTTCTAATAGATCTAATGTTCCGTGTGGATTATTATTTTTTATTACAAATTCATTTGAGTAAGCATGTAAAATTATTTTAAACAGTTTTATTTAGTGACATGACAACTCAAAGACTAAGAAAAGAATATTCAGATGACGACCTCGAAAAAGCTCTTGCTGCTGTCCGTTCTGGAAAACTATCAGCAGTATAAGTAAAGCCATGGGCATACCTAGAACTACACTTTTATATAAGTACAAAGGAAAATTGCCAATTGGAAAAAATGTAGGTCCAACACCATTTCTAACTACAGACGAAGAAGCTTAACTTGTGAAATGGATGATGCATCTTAGTCAGCGAGGTTTTCCTGTTACAAAAAGTCAATTAATTAATAGCGTGCAATTATTAATAAAACAGCTGGCACGAAATACACCATTAAAGAATGGACGACCTGGACACCATTGCGATGGCCTGGGATCTTTTGACAAGATCCGAAAAATCTCAGGCGTGTTGGTTAAATGCTAACCATCACGGACTACAATGGTGGGATGGAGGCATTCTATACATCCGCGCCAAGGACATCATACGGCGAGCCATATGTGATGGGTTGGAAAACGACGCAACGATCTATGTGAAAGGACTTGACGAGATGAATTGGCTCAAGGAATTACTTGGCATCCCCATTCGCAATGTCAAGTCCATAGACGTGGATATTGAGGACATCGACCGTTTACAGAATTTGACCGCGGTTGATTCGTTGCGGTGCAGACGTCACGTCAATCATTGCGCAATATCAAACGTATTCAAATTGCGCGATTGGTGGGTTCAGCGAACAGCAGCTCTCGATTTGCTGATTTAAATATCATATGTGGTGGACGATCTACATCAAGGACTTGAGGAGAATCTCAACATCGACCGTGTGACCGCGGCTGATCCGATGCAAAGAGAGAGATGCAGACGCCACATCGATAATTATACTTACACCTTTACATACATGTTTAAACGATTGCAAAATATATACTTGTAGTATTAGTCACATTTTTTATTTATTGCGAATCTTTTCTCTTCCCAATAGAATGTTACTCATCACTTCGGGTGTTATAATATGTTAGAGCAGGATGGTGTGAACGGGCCGGGAAAAATAGTTTATCACGTATCTTTTAGTACGAAACAATTTATTATAACCGATACCTGAACACGAGTCGATACTTCGCGTGCTTAACTAGTGGACATGTGCCTTAGTACTGATTCGCCCAGCATGGTACGACACTCGGTGTCGCTTCGCGGAACGAAAACTGCCGAAGTTTCTCGAGTCGCGCTCGACTCGTTATACTGTACAGACAACCGACAAATAAGCGTATCTTTACAGTCGGGAGCACTGAGGTTGCGACACTTTTTTTTTGAAAGTTTACGAACGCGCAAAAAAATTCAGGATGCGAATCACTGTCCGCGCTCATGCGCGGTGAGTGATCATGGTGCTGTCAAATTTGTGTATACAATGTGTAACATAAATTTATATGCCGCAGCAAATCCATAATAAATCACATGATTATTCAGTTGATTCGTGTTAACTCGCTGTCGGATCAAATCTTTCGTCGACTTGTCTCTTGGTTATACTAATGAATAATGTGGGATGATTTCTAAATACAAAATAAAATATAATAAATATAATAAATAAATAAATATATTACATTAATTTATTAAATATATAAAATGACCATGCTACCTTGTATTCACTAATATTTTTTTAAATTTGTGAATCAAATATCCGATGGCGATTTAGTAGAAAATTTGTTGTAGTATGAAAAGTTTTGGTAAATGTTCACTATAGGGGAGTCAGCTCCGATGACCTTGACCTTGACATATGTTGTCAAGGTTACCCTCCTGAGTAACGCTCAGAAGGTTTTAGCCGTCGCTCGTTGTTTGTTAAAAAGTTATTAAAAAAACAATGTCGACCAATTATATGTAATTTTCAGACACAAATATTAAAATTTTGAAAAATGTTTTAAACAAAAGTTGTAGATCTCCTTAAAATATATATTTTATGTCCTATTCATTTTTACTCTACGAGTGATAGTTTTCGAGAAAAATGATGGACTCTAAATCTTATATCTGTCCTCTCATCTAAGCATGTGCTTTGTAGTACATATACGATTCCATATGGATTTGCGACTTTTCACGTGAGGCGAGATCCACTCCACACCTCGGACGTAGTTTGGGTTAGGTTATATCTTAACAAAGTGGAGCCCCCCCCCGCGGGGGGGCGGAACATACTGTCTCCACGCA